GAATAAATTTAAAACACGGCCTAATAAATATCGTCACACCACGTTATTCAACCATCATTATTTGATCTCCATCACCCAAACAAAGCCCAATGATTTCCATGGACCTCAATAATGTTCGTATCCTTATCTTTGTCACTCTCCTCCACATTAGTATTCTTTATGATACTCATAGCATATCAAGTTAGCTATTTATATTTTGTAATATCATTTTCACTAACTATGAGAAAGAGTAAACTTCTATAATCTTATTTATATGATGAATTATTTGAACTAGTTCAGACCCAATTATTTTATTTATTTATAAATTTTAATTATTTTTCACATAAAAGCTCAAATTTCTCTTTGAAACTTCTCCTATATATTTATATATTTTCATTCTACTCCTACAATTTTTGCAGCATGCAACAAGCTTGAATTATTAGTATTATAATATTGAATTATTTAATTAGTTCTCACCTTTTTTAAAAGCTGTCCCAAATGAAGCCTAAAAAGGTTCTGATGATCTTTTGAAAGGTTTGAGAATGTTGTATTGTAGCCATAGACATCATAAAGTGCAAGATATTTATCATATTTAGAGATTCAATATAAAGGCGACTCACTAATCCACCCGACTGTCCATCTAGCTAGACGACCGGTCAATGCTGGCCTTATCATCAAGAACTTCAACGGATCAATCTCTGAGACAAGGGTGATCTTATGAAAAAGCATGTAATGAAGAAGTTTTTTATCAGCAAAAATGAGCGCCAAACACTACTTCTCAATTGGAAAATATCATATTTCTGCGGCTACTGATCTTTGGCTGATATACGAAAAAGCATTCTCCTTGTCTTCTTCACCCTCAATGACCATTTAGGGCGTTCATTTTTCTATGGTGTATATCTCATTGTCAATGAGGCCACCAAAGACCTCTTAGCTATTTTTCTATATATTTTAGTAAAAGTAAAGAGAGAGTCTTCAAGATTATATTGAAGAGTTTAGTAAGGCCTATCATGATGATGCTAAAAATGAAGAATCCTTTGCTAAAACTACTTTCATCTTCGGACTCATATTGGGCAATTTCAGGTTTTCAACAGCAAAGAATCCTCAATCCTTTCAACAATAATGAGGATCTACTCAAGAAACTTGATAAGTATGTCAATGCCTAAGAGTCTGTATAGGAATAGAAATTTTCATAAAAAAAACTATCTTTTCTATTTTATTGGGAAAAAGAAAAAAAAGTAATAATTGCAACAAAACAGTATATTTTTTTCATTTAGAGAAGGTGAATAAGCCGGATGGCTTCCTCTAACTATGAAAGTCAAGAGGCAACCACTCGTTCATCCCAAATAACACCAGATAACAATACCTCATGCCAGATATTTCAATATTCATCTTCTTCCTAAGTATTAGTTGCACGCAACCATCATAGAGGCAATTCAAAACAAGATATCTATAGGTTCTGTGTGGAATCTAATTGTGTCAATCAATTGGGTTGTATTGATGGCTCAAATCTCAACTATATCAATCAAGCTCTTTGAAGAATTAGCCAAACCCCGAGGCAGTAGAGCTACGACTCAAGGCTGGAGATAGAGAGTAGAGCACTGCGGAGCTCCAAACCCCAAGCACTGCGATTCAATTTGGACAGTTTTCTTTCTCATTTTTCATGCATATTTTGAAGTGTTGCATTCCTTGGTGTAATTTAAGTGCACCTCTTTGTCTATTATGTGTAGAGAGCGAAGAGTGAGGTGAAGTGAGACAAGGAGGGAGTGCGAGAGAAGAGATATATGCATAATTTCTCTCATTTTCATAGTGAATTTTTTGTTGTGATATGACTCTTATATTTTTTCCTGATTTCAAGTTTTTTCACATTAAATACTATTGCAGATTTATGATGCTTTCATTTTCTTGTTTGTAGTAGTTGTGTGGCTTTACTTCCAATCTCAAGTGGTCATCAATAATGCAAGAGTCAATAGAGCGGATTATTCCAAAGTTCTAGCTCTACCATAACGACCTTGGCTATAATGTTGAAGATTGCATAATCCTCAAAACTATGCTTCAAAAATTAATGGAGTATGGTCGATTGAAAGCCTATCTTGTTGAATATTACTCGTTCAAGTACCATATTAGTATATTACTAAAGCCACTTATTGCATCCAATGTTGGAATTAACATAATTGGCACAATGCATGTTATAGCCAGAAAGCAGGTGCTAAAGCAACATAATTTATAAGTATAAAGTGTGAGACGAACACGTCTGTATAGCTCATTATGTATCCTATGTTATTTACAATTGTACACATGTATCTCTATATATATAGGCTCTGTAATAAGCTTTGGGTGAATAAGATTAATTTCCATTTTTCTCTCCTCATTGGCTTCTCTCTGCTCCGATCCTTCTCATCTTCCTCAGCTCTCACATGGTATCAGAGCAGAAAATGGGAGATCAAGAAACGGCGTCCTCTTTCCCTCTCGCTACCACCTCCTCCCTCGCCGACGCCTTCAACGAACTCGTTCTTCCCGCCTCTCTCAAGTTCATAATCTCAAATTTCAAGAACTTGATCCCTCATCACCTCACCGTAGATAATTACGCAATCTGGAAGATTCAGATTCAGCAAAACCTCACGGCTAACGGCTATGTCGACTTCCTCACAGGCAAGATCGCTCCTCCGGCCGACAAGACCTCGCAAGATTATGCCCGCTGGCGTCTCATCGACAGCAATTTGATTTCCGCTCTCTTAGATGTATCTATTAGTTCTATGTAGAATCTAATTGTGTGAATCAATTGAGTTGTATTGATGACTTAGACCTCAAGTACATCGGTCGATTTCTACGAAGAATTAATATGGTTGGAGACAGAGAGCGGTGCGCCGCTCCGCTCCAAACTTCAGAGCTGTGGTGCTGCGACTCAGGCTGGAGATCGATAAAGAGTAGAGCATTGCAGAGCTATAAACCCAAACACTACGATTCGATTTGGACAATTTTCTTTCTCATTTTTCTTGCTTAATTTGAAGGGTTGCGTTCCTTGGTATAATTTAAGTGCGTCTTTTTCTCTATTCTATGTAGAGAGTGAAGAGTGAGGTTAAATAAGACAAGGAGGGAGTGCGAGAAAAAGTATATATGTATAACTTCTCCCATTTTCATAATGAATTTCTTGGTGCGATATGACTCTATGTTTTTTCCCGATTTCAGGTTTTTCCACATTAAATACTATTGTAGATTTATGATGCTTTCTTTTTCTTGTTTGTATTAGTTGTGTGGTTTTACTTCCAATCTCAAGTAGTCATCAATAATTGAGGAGTCAATAAAGCTGATGATTCCAAAGTTCTAGCCCTACCATAACGACCTTGGCTATGATGTTGAAGATTGCATAATCCTCAAAACTAAGCTTAAAAAATTAATGGAGGATGGTCGATTGAAGGAATATCTTGTTGAATGTTACACGTTCAAGTAGCATATTACTGGAGCCACTTACTGCATCCAATGTTGGAATTAACATAATTGGCACAAAGCATGTTATAGCCAGAAAGCAGGAGCTAAAGCAACATAATTTATAAGTATAAAGAACTCACCCAATTCGAGATCCACTCTTTTTTCTCAGATAGAGAGCAACCGCTATACCAGAATATTTTTCACAATGCAAATATTATATCTACCAACATAAATCAGTTGGAGATAATTTGAACCTACCCTGCACAAGGAGACTAACTTTCAAGATATTTCACTAATCTCGTGGCTCACTGGTTGGATTTTCTAGCAAAAGATTCTTCTTGAGAGAAGCATCATCATGGAGATCAATTGAAGGAACAATAAAGCCCATAAAATCAAAGAGGTTAACTTCTAAGAATTCTTCCTTTCAATAACTCATAAACATCCACAAAATAAAATATAAAGAAGAAAGAAGTCTATTTAGAAAACTGCTTCAAAATCCGAAGGGAAAAATAAATAAGAAAAGGAAAGATAAAGCTACCCTCAGAACAACCAACAAGTGGTCACTTCACTTGGAAACTTTTAAAAATATAGGATACGTGCTCAAAGAAAGATCTAACACGGAATCCACCACTGAATCGATCAGGCATAAGTCCACCCTCATCCGGCAAATACCAACCAAAATGTGGAAGCAAACACCTTAAAGTTCACAAGAGAAGAAGGATACAGTTGGACGGTTACCGTGGAGATGAAGAAAAGGAAGAGGACCAAGACGAAGTATAAGAGAAGAAGGGAATAGGAGACTAGCTCAAAGGCTAAAAACCAACAGGTTTGAATGTAAACACTTCACCAAAAACTCCCCTCAATCAGCAGCAAACAGCCCCCATATATAGGGAAAAAAAGAGCCCAACAACCTCATAAATATGTCGCCCCCAAGCATTCAATAAGAGCTATCATTTCATAGGAAATAGCAAAGGGAGGGGGATGGACAGTATGAGGAACCAAACAAATAGAAAAGTAAACAAATAACTAAATTCTGCCTAAGAAACTAGTAGAAAACCAACAGACACCTACCAAAAACTGCCTAGGAAACCAGCAGAAAACAAACAACAACCAAACCGTGAAAAGGGAAGGGAATAGGCAGCAGGATAGGAGAAAACCGAAGCAACACTCAGCAGCGAAAGCTGTGTAAAAAGGGAGGAACGAACATAAACCGAAACAGCACACAACAACACAGAAACTGAAGTGACAAAGTGAAGGAAAGGGAGATATATTCCTAAGAGCACCAACCTAGCAAGATCATTGGTTGTCTTTCATCATAGGGTAAATAAAAAAATAAATCAAACATAAAATATTACATAATTTTTAACTACATCAGTTGCTCAGTCTGAATCATCCTATAGCCGCGTTTTTGCATTTTTGGGAGGCCGCTACTCAATCATCTGGGCAGTGGTGTCAACCAGACAACTAATAGTAAAATTCTCCTTCTCAAAAATAAAATAAGTGATGCACATCTTTCCAAGCTTATCAATACAATTAAATCTCTCAAAAGGTATAAAATGGATGAAGTTTAACCTTAACTAAATACTGATTTGTAGCTCAAGAGGGCAAATTTTTTTGCTAAATGATATTGATAGACGAAATCACAACAAATCCTACAAAGATATATGCCGTATTAGAAAGCAAGTCGTCAAAATTCATTCAAAGAAGTCATCCAGTTTGGGCTCTACACAAATCAATTTGTCTAAGATGATGATTGTGAATAGTCATTTACACAGTTGAAGTCATTCCTTATCATTGCTCCAATTCTAAATAGCCTGAGATTCGAAGAAGATTTACTCCTATATTTAAGAGTAATTTCTGATATTCTTCTTAGCATGTTTGACTTGCAAGCTGCAGGTACACGAAAAATCTCCTTGAATGCTTTCTCAAATTTGATCCAATAATCAAATGAAAACCAACGTGATTTACTCATCCACTTCCTTTCTATCCGTCCTTCATTACAGTCACTTCGATGAACAGCTGAAACTGATAACGATTCACTAACAACTGACAAGAATCTAACAAATAGAAAACAGAGAATCAAAATAGTTTTCTTCCACACATTACCCCTCTGGTTTCTGCTGCTTCTTCCTCTTAAACTCCAGCACAAGCTCCGCATCAACATTTTCTTCCGGTTCCCATGTCGCTTCCTCAATATCCTCCCACTTCACCAAATACTCTTTCCCTCCCCCATCCACCTCCCTCTCTCCCATCACTTCCTCCGCCACTCCATACTCCAACCCAGCCTCAAAATCAGCCACCAAATCCTCTGCCACCCACGCCTTCTTCACCCACTCCCTTTCCCCCTCATCCCTCCACTCCACTAGATACTCCCTCGTCCTTCCTTCCCCTCTTGCATCCACCACCCTCTCCACCTCTCCCCATTCATACACCGCCCTTTCCACCTCAACAACAGTGGCCTCCAATGCCACACGCCTCCCAAAATCCCCCTTCGATGTTGCCCCCATCACTTCCCGCGCCAGATCCAGTGCCGTCCTCCCCCTCTGGTCCTCCGCTTCGGCATCCGCCCCCGCCTCTACCAACGCTCGCACCGCCCCGGCCCTCCCGTACCCCGCCGCCATGTGCAGCGGCGTTAGCCCTGCCCCATCTCTTTGATCAACATTCACCCCCGCCTCCGCCAACACCTTTATGCACTCCTCCGACCCCAGCCCAGCCGCGAAGTGGAGCGCTGTGCGACCGTCGCCGTCCTCCGCGTTGGGGTCGCGGGAGACCGATTCGTCCGAGAGAAGAAGGGAGAGAGCTGCGGCATCGGCTTTGCGGGCTGCGGTCCACCAGGGGGTTTCGTATTCAGCGACGACGTCGGCCGCGATTCCAGTGGCTGGGATCCAAGAAGGAGCGTGGCCGTCCTTCCATTCAATGAGGTATTCGGTTGATTTTTCCGTGGAGACGGAGCCGTCTTCGGCGAAAACTGGTGTGCGGACAGTGCGGCGGCCGATGATTCGATTGACTTCGCCAAAGGAGTCGTCGTCGGGCAAAGGCTCTGTTGATGTTTTGGTTTCTTTGATGGGAGATGGGGAGTATTGGTCCTGGAAGGTAGTGGAAAGGAGAGCGGGAGGGAGTCGTCCGCGGTGTCGACGGGAGGAGGAGGGGATGGTGATGGTGAGGCGGTTTGAAGGAGAGGAACGGAAGAAAATGAGGGGTAGTTTGAGGCGGGAATGGGAGGGGTGTTTGAGGACTACCTCCATTAGGATTTTTGATCTCAGAGGTAAGGAGAGGAAGGTCGTGAGGGAGAAGATGTGAGCTAAGCGAGATTGGAAAACGGATAAGGAAAGTGGACGTGGTTAGATTTTCTTTCTGATGAATAAATTATATTTTAATTTATATTTATATTTATTGGGCTTTAATTTGAATAATTGAAAATAAATAATATTTCTTTAAAATATAAATAAAATTTCTATTTTTTTATATAATATAAGAAAGAAAATTAGATGCTGTATTAATAAGAGTTTAATTAAATCTAATTGGGATTCAAACTATACTATTAATATTATTTTAATTTTAATAATATCCAATGGTTAATTTGATGTGTTTTGATTAAATGGGCTCATGGGCTATTCATAAGCCTATTATAATAAATTTGTGTAAGCCCATATTTTAGGATTGGGCTGTTGGAAATTTAGACGAATTGGCTAGCCCGGCTTATTTGACAACTCTACGACTTTTTTATTCTTTTTAACTCGAAGCATGTTAATTGAGTGTAAACGGTGGAGTCCACACACCACCATTAACCAATTGCACCATTGCATAGGGGGTTTGAAATAGCCAGCAAATGCTATATCGGTGATAAAAATCTAGTACGATTCTCACGGTAATATTCAAATAAAAAATTTTGAAAAATGAATTATAGTTGATCCAAAGTTTAATTTCAATAAATTTATAATCGAATTAAATATTTTAATATGGAAAACATATTGAAATTAAAAGGGATATGATCTAAGTTCAAATGAGCCTAAAACAAGGGCTTAAAACATAATTAAAAACTTCATAATATTAATTAGATGACCAGATAATCTCCAAATATTGGATGCTTTTGATCAAATTGATCATAAAAATACAAGATTACTTAATAGTTAATTCTAACATCATTGAGACACTTATATGCAAAAAGAATGATCTATAATCAAGAAAATTAATATAGATCGACTGATGGAGTGTTCATGATTACGGTTAAATTTATTCACAAAAAACACTCAAGAAATTATAAACAATCTTTTTCTCTACCCATTCATTGGGATGGGGTGAGGAGGAGAGCTCAAAATTTTCCTAGAGCTCACCCTACCATTCTTGTTGGACCACTAGCATTAGACTATCATTATTCAACAAGTGCCACCTAATCAACATCATTTGATCTACAATGTCAAACCACAGCCAACTAATTACAACTTTCGCTTAACTTTGCTGGGGGCCCCTCCACACACACACACACACACATTTATCACATGACCAACATTACCCTACTATAGCCAGTTGATTAGCATCACTTGATTACTGTCTCTCGACCATCCTAGCTTGAATGTATTCTCTCGATTACCATCGCTCGACTATAAGCATCTATCCTGTGTCATCTGACTATCATCCTTTGATCCTAGACCCTAAACTATAGTCTTTTGTTAATCATTACTTGACTTTGATCTTCCATCAATCATCACCCAACTACATGCTCCTGGTCAATGATATCGGACTACATTGATGCCTAAAAACTTCATTGTTTGACATCATCAATAACATCAATGCACGCCAATGCTTAGAAGCATATTGCAAGCAATTGACATCAATTTTGATTCACGACATCAACACCAAGATTTAATTCAAATTTCTCGGTCTTTGTTGATCTCCTCTCTTTAAAGAGAACAAAAGAACATATAAGAAATAAATTACTAAAAAAATAAGATTTTCGTAGCAGTTTTTAATAGCAATTTTAAAACCGCTGCTATAAATTAGTAAACTGGTGCTAAAAATATTTTTAATAGCGATTTATAGAAGCTGTTTGTCACCGCTGCTCTCTGTAACCTTCCGTGCCCTAGCACCCGCTCGACTATATCTGGTGTTCGTCTCCCAGCATCCATATGATCCACTGGGAAGCAACACAGAAATCGTGTTGCCACTTGGAGTTTCGGCGTCGTGTTGCCACTTGGAGTTTCGGCGTTGGTCTCGCTTTTTCTTCTCCTTGTTCCCATTTCGGAGAGGATTGTCAATGAAGAACTAGGAGTTATACTCTGCTTCTTTTAGTTGGCGAGGTCTCCATGATCCGATAGAATCCGAGATCTCTATTTGGCTGTGGGTTTAGATCCGGTGAGGCTTTTGTGGCTCGCTGACTGCTTATTTGAAGTAATGTGCCTAGGTTTCGGTTTGCTATGAAAGCAGTTTTGGTTTGCATTTCGAATTCGGAGCACGATTCGAAACGCTTGGGTAACAGAAACTGCCTTTCTTGTCTTGTTCTCTTGCTAATTTACGATTTTTTGTGAGTTAAGAATTTAGAAGATTACTGTGCTTATTTTTGAAGCAGATTGGCAAAGGAGCATTTGGCTCCGCTCTTCTCGTGAAGCACAAGGTGGAAAAGAAAAAGTAAGTAGAGAGGCGGCTCACTTGTATTTGGCTTGCGCTTTATCCTTGGCATTGCTATAGATTTGTTGGGGTTTTTATTATTTCTTCTTGATTTGCTTAGGTATATGTCTTGAAGAAAACCAGGCTTGCTCGGCAAACAAATAGGAACCGCGCGCAGGTCTGTGCACCTGGAGTTAAAATCTTAATTTGTTGTTGTGCACAGTTGTTTATTTGGGATTGTTTGTAGTCAGTGGCTTACACTAGAATGAGTTGATCCCATGCACTCTACGTTGGTTAATTTGGTTGATAAATGCATAAATTTCTATGATTTGTAATGAGAACAATGCTCTTAGAGCCAATATTTCTTATATATGTTATTTTTCTGAATTCACTACATGAAAATATATTTATATTTTTATTTTTCCTTGCTTATTGATGTTATTTTTCTGAATTCATTCATCTTTGCCAACCTTTAGGTGCTGCATTTTATATATTGATTTTAGTCATCAGAATTTTATTGTTTTTGCATATGGAACTTATTTTTAAAGTGCAGAATTCATTCATTGTGGAATACAAGGATTCTTTGGTTGAAAAGGTTTCTGAGCACAACTTTGTTATCATAAAAGTCATTGTATTTGGTGTTTATTGTGAGGATTCATTCTTTATGTTATTGACCCATTAGATTTCAAGCATGAAAACAAATCTAAAATTACTCTTAAAAATTGCTTACTATTATTTTCAGAACATTATATTTTGTTTGTTTGTTTTTTATTAGCGTTCATTTATATCATGTCCGCAGAAGCTTTGCAAGTGGCTTGTGTAGTTACTTATGGCTCTTGATTACTTGTATGTGAACCATATTCTTCACCGTGATGTCAAGGTGGGTAATCATAAATAGAATACTATTTGGATGTACCATGCACAAAATTCATGCTAATGATTTGTAATTGATCCAATGTTCTAATATTTTCCAAGCAAAAGATCAGAGTCTTCGACTGGGTATGATGTTTAATTGAAGCTAGTGTCTGAAATTGTTTACTATAAAAGTACTAAGTTATGCTACTTGCAGGTGACTTTGGCCTTGCAAAAATTTTGAGTTCAGATCAGCACTATCCTGAAATTGTCATTTTGTCTAGAAGAGATCAAACATTTGCTATGATGTTCTACATACTTGTATTCTATTTGAGCGCATAATTCATTTATGAATATCCGGTTATGAAGATTTCCAAAGTTTTGGTTGCTCATTTTTGTTCTTACAGGTGGTTAGAGATGTATGTGTCGATTCATTTGTTCAAAACATTATCTCATTTTAGTTGCTATGCCTTCGTTCAAATCTTCTTGTTTATGGCTAGCTCTGTAATCCTTCTATTTTGTATTGATGCCTTTTAGTTAAGCAGGTTTTGATGTACCCGTTTCAATATGCCCCCATCTCCAAGAGTTAGGACTAAATTTATACATATATTATGAGAAAACAACAAACAGATAACAATGGAATATAGGTCCTGCATGTAGTTATTTTCATGCTAATATTAATTTGTATATTTATTTAGGTATTGTTGTGATGGTTGGAAGTATTCCATGGCATCCATTGATGAATTTTGTGCTGTGCTGCGTTGTGCTAATGTCTGTGACTTTGATTGGCTCTATATAAGTTTATAAGTCTTATTGTTTCTTGCTTTTATATTTATGCATGGAAGTATATTTGTTGATAGATAGGTTCATTAATATTGATATGAAAGGCATGCTCCTATTCACATGTTGTGCAATTCTTCATACTCACATATTTCTATAGTATTTTATTGATATTTGTAATTTGATCATAAAATTTGATTTTTTTGCATTATATATTTTTTTAATTTAATCTACTATTTAGCAACGATTTTAACACCTGTTAAAAAGCGCTGCTAAAGTCTTCCTACAACAACACTCCTAAAATTGTTGTTAAAGTCTTTCTAGCGAACACAAATGCAGCGGATTTGCAAGGGTTTATAAACCATTGCAAATAAATTAGTAGGTGTTTAAACTGTTGTAGTAGGTCTTAAAAAGTGCTGCAAAAGCTTAATTTTTTAGTAGTAGACGGATCTAATACCTCAAGGCTCTTGCAATCTTCTCATGAAATTTATTCTATTCAATTTATATTTGCTATATAACATTCACCATGAACTTTGATGGCATGCAAAAAAAAAAAGTTTCGAAGAATGGCGGACCGTTGAAGGAAAGTAACGATCACTAAAAAAGCTTTTATGATGGCTTGCAAAACCACCATAATGATTGAGTTTGGCCATTCTACACAAAACTCCTCCATATATATTCTAGTGACATGATGAAATTATGAGACGTTCTACACAAGGCAAGCATTCATAATGCATGATCATTATGTTGTTTTGTCGACCAAATTGTTCACATTCTCATTATGAGATATTTGGCAACCTCATGTGAATCTGATTATAACTTATAAGTAGTAGTGATTAAATATGATTAATTATTAATTTAATGTTGTATAGAATAGCTTTCTTATTGCTTTTTAAAGCAATTTTTTTTTTCAAAAAACTAATTTAAATATACTAAAAAACTAATTTATAATGTAATACAAAAATTGTCTCAAACTAAGACTAAATTTAAATGAGTCTAATAAGCTTATAAATATTACAATTGAGAGGTTTATGAGGGTATAATGAATTGATTTTTTTTAAGTTGTTGCGTCTTGAAATAGGGAAAAACCATACTGCCTGACCTAGTTTGGAATGATCCACTAGTATTTATAGTTGATTACAAATGAGGCTCTTCCTTGGGGGAAAGGTCTTGACTTGATGTAACAAATATACATCATATGGAGTGCATTATATTGTCGGAATTAGGAGAATTACTATTGACGTGTTTGTTTGGTCGAAAGGATATATCGTAGTCGGTTGGCGATGGAGGTCGGGAGGACCAAAGTAGACGGGTGATAGAGGTCGAGATGACAGTAGTCGGTGGGCGACACAATGAAGGTCGGGAGGACCGTAGTCGACGAGCTACAGAAGTCTGGAGGATCGTAGTCAGCGGACGACAGAGGTTTAAAAGATTGTAGTCGGCGGACAACGGAGGTTTGAAAGATTGTAGTCAGCAGACGACGGAGGTTAGGATGACTGTAGTCGGTGGACGATAGAGGTCGGGATGATAGTAGTCGGTGGATGACAGATGTCAGAAGGACCGTAGTCAGTTGGCGATGTAGTTCTGGAGGATCGTAGTCAGCAAACAATTGAGTTTAGAAGAATCGTACTTGGCGGACGAGCGGAAGTCTAGCGGTTGTTGGATAGAACTCCGGCGGTGGTCAGTAGGCTAGTGGAAGTCTGACGATACAACTGGTCGGTGGACTCCAGTGGTGGTCGGGAAGAACTCTGGCAGTGGTCGATAGACTAGCAGAAGTCCATTAGTGGTCGGGAAGAACTCTGGAGGTGGTCTTGAGACTAACAGAAGTTCGGCATTGGTCAGGAAGATATATCTTCGGTGGAGGTCGGCGGACTGGCGGAAGTCCATTGGTGGTCGGGACGAGCTTTGGAGGTGATCGGCGAACCGGCAGAAGTCCGAAGTTGGTCGGGAAGATCTTCGTCGAAGATCGGTGGACTGGCAGAAGTCTATCAGTAGTTGAGAAGAACTCCGGCGGTGGTCGGCGGACTGGCAGAAGTCCGGTAGTGGTTAGGTAGAACTCTAATGGTGGTTGGGGGTGAGGATATTTCATGGTGGTCGGCGGTTGGCTTGTAAATATGGGAAGGATTAAAATCAAGATGGGAGTGGCTTGAATGGGCGGACGATATCTTTGATAGTGGGTTGTTTATTTTGGTATTTGGATGTCTTTATGATATTAGAATTTGGTGATCTCGTGCTCGTTGGATTCGTCTTATCGAGCCGCTCGATTGGACTATAAGCAAGTCACGTTTAGAATTTGTTTGGTAATCCAATTTATGCTTTGAACCTTCCAAATATGCTTTGGACCGTTGATCTGGGATCCTTTGGTCTCAAATTGTACTGATGTTGGTGTCGTTGGGTTTATCTTTTCGAGATGTTCAGTTTGACTATAAGTTTGCTTAAATCAAAGTTTGGATGATTCCATATTTAATTTTGAAATCTTTCCACTCAATTTTTTTTTAAGATTCGTGTTGGATCAAGATTATTTTTGAAGACGTATCAAAACTCATCAAAGAATAAATGAAGAAGGGTTAACATTTATTTAATTGACGAGCATCTTAACAATATCAATGAATAAATTGGTTAACCTTCTTGTTGGTGAAGGATCTTAAAAAAATATTTAACAACCATGAAAAATATATTGGATAAAGAAATGCAAGAGTTTTGTCCATATTGAAATTTTTTTAGGATGGGCGATCTTTGTTTGAGAAAAAAATTGAATGATGCATGCACTTCACTATGATTGGATATTCTAAACTGCACAACAGTCAACAGAGGAGAGATTATCGAGGCTGAGAGAATGAAGATTTTTTTTTTTTGTTTTGCATGGTTTCTTTGTAGGATTAGTGTGATGCGAGAAGGCCATTTAGTGCATAAATAATAATGTCTTTGGTATCTAGAGAGGAGATGCAGATGCAGCTCGGTACCGCTAACGTGAAAAATTTTAATTGGTTTTCGAACAATATTTTGTATTCATTCTTCGCATAGAATAATTTCTAAGATTAAAAACTTCCAACAAAAGTTACAAAAATAAAGTATATATGTAGTTTTTTTTTTTTGGCTTTTGAGTAAAATAAGCTCACTTTGATTAAGAGTTTTGACCATCATATCAGAGGTTCTTAATTCGAATCATAAGTACGTGATATTTGTATGAATTTATTTTAATTAATTTAAATATTTCAAAAAAATAATTAAAATAAATTCATACACATCACATAAGTAAACTTTTAATCTAAGAAAATTTGTTGATGGATAGCCAAAAGACTCAACAAAAGAAGTTGAGCCGTGTTAAATAACTTAAATGTAATCACCAACGCCAAAAATATAAAAAGAAAACCTAATTTTTGGCTACGTGGCTGCAAACCCTGGCATCCTTATACACCTTGCCAGGCCGGCAGAGATAGCCCATCTCCGGTGCACAGTGTCGGTCCTCAGAACAAACGCAGAGCCCTTCCAAAGCGCAGCCATCCTTCACCAAACTCGTCGTCTTCCCCTCGATGCCAAGCACCTGATCCGTCCATTCGGCGGAGAACAGCCCCGCCGGATCGAACTCATCTTTCACCCTCATAAACTCCTCAACCCTGGAATACTTACCAATAGCTCCATCAAATGCCACGTTCCTGTTCTTTCCCCAGTGCGGAAGCGCCCCGTACTTGAATAAAGCCATCTGCTCAATCTCCTCCAGCAAATCCTCGTAAAGCCTCGGCCTCAAAGGATCGCGGCTGCGATAGTACGTAATGTCGAAGTCGACGCCGTCCTCTTCCTTGCCGAGGTAGGCGGTGGAAGCCTTGACGTAGCGCATCAGAATGCCATTGTTGATGTCAATGCTGCAGAGCGCGTCGGGGTGGAGGTCTCGAATCTTTTGGACTTCGAGGATGAAGTCTCTGACTTTGGAGAGCGGGATGGTAAAAGCAGATTGATAGAAGAACTTGCCCGTGATGCGGGGATCCCACGGGCAGGACGTGAGAAGGCCATCCTCCGGCGAGTTCAAGCAGCTGCCGGAAGCTTGCAGGTGGTGCTGAAAGCCTATTACGGGGTAGCCCTTGAAGAGCGACCCGTCGTTGGTGAGGCCGTAGGCGGCAAGCGACAGTGCGGAGGTAATAACCGTCGCGGCTGCGCATTTACCCGCAGCGTCGCCGAGAGCCTCCATGGCATCCTCTGAGCCACGGTAAATATATGTTAAACTTGAAATTTCGAGATTTTAAACACCGCATAGCTTAAAAATAATGTGCAGCCCGATGACAGGATGATGATTAAAAAGTTAAGGGAAATTTACATAAATACCACTTTACAACATACTATTTATATATTTTATATCTAAAATTTTAATATTACAGGCATACCATCATATTATTTTAACATTAAAAATATCACTTACATTTCTTTATTGCTATTCATATATATCATTTCTACCACTTAAATTTGATATGTAAATGAGCTATGAGTAGTATGTATGAGTAGTATGTATGTAATATTAAAGTTTAAATAAATAAATAAAATAATATAAGATGATATCTATTTAAATCCTCAAAAAAATTAAATGTTTTGTAGCTGGCTCAAAAGTGAAATAAATGTGGAAAAAATTAAAGGAATTTCATGGAAAAGATAAGATAATTTATAATTTAAATAATGTAATAAAAATATTTGTTTTAAATGTATATGGCATGAGTAATTATAATAATATATATATGACTCGTTATGCCAAATTTCTATAGGGAAATGCTAGGGTTATGAATTTTCTTTTAATCATAATCATAAATATTTTTATTCTTTTTAATTTAAATATACATTTTTAAAATTTCATTTGTTTTTTTTTCAATGGCAGATATTCTTCAAAATTTTTATTATCAATTATCTTGTAAAAAGGAGCTGAGCAAGTGCTGGCACGCCAAAGACCATTAATAAGTGAAAAACCAGAAAGGAATAAAAAAAAAAAGTAGTGCTCCACCATTCTTAACCTGTTATGTCCACAATAGATTGTTGGTGTAATGGCCGCATTAATGGGAAAGTGGAAAAAGGCCAGAAAAGTGCTCGGTTAGCCAAAACGGAAAAAAAAATTAGGTACAAAAATAGAATCCAAATTTTCGATTATGATAGTTTGCAAAATTATCGGATCATTTTATGATCGAGGAATGTAATATATATTATATTTATATGAAAAATAATTTAAAGAATTAGGTAGACATGATATTTTTATATATATTTTTTGACAAAAATTCATTTCTTTCCAAAAAAATTGGAAAATACAAGAAATTTTATAAGAAGTTTCTTTAAAATAATGAAATATTTATTAAAAATTATAAAACGGTCAAATTTTATCTCAAAATAAATAGTTCTTTTAATATTACCCTGTCATTAAAAAATTATCTTGTTCTTTTTTACTAAAAAAGTTCTATAGTTTTTAATAAAATATCTCATATTTTAGTTGTATTTTACGTTCAATTAGAAAAAAATCTTTAAAAATGTAAAGCGCTATTAAGAGCACTTAAAAAATAAATAAATAGATAAGCAAATATGAACGCCTACCAGTGACTCTGTCAATGGCCAATCCAGCTCTTGCGGTAGAACGGAAGCCCATGAAGTCGTATTGCCCGTCGCCCAGATCGTTTAAGGAAACCCGACTATCCTTACGGTACAAGGCTTTCCCTCTGCCTACATACCACGTAATGTCCGCGAACTCGTACTGTTTCCCGAACTTCACCGCGGCTTCCGCAAGATCTCCGTCTCCGCGACTCTCATATGTGATCGATCGCTTGAACAGCGGCTGCAGCTTAAATGTGACCTACAGGTCCAGATGATTTGTGTTTCTAGCTTTTGTTAAAGAGGAATCAAAACTTTTTTTTTTCCAACAAATCGATGGAGAAAAACATTAGCCAAAACATCGAAGCAATTCAAATTCATCATGCATGACAATCATTTTTCCTTTGTTTAATACGCTACCAATGTACAAGCAATTGATGCCGCTTTGATGTCTACCTACCTATGGGCGGAGCCACCTAGCGGCTAGGGGGAAATTGACCCCTTAAAAAAATAAAAAGTTTCTTTATTATATGATTCTTTGTATAATTTATCTTCCTCCATATATTTTTCAGTATTTATTATAAGGATTTTTAGCTCATTGTCCGCCCTAAAAATTTAAAATACTATAGACTTTAGACAATTGCAAAACATAATTAAAAGCATTGTGTAGAAATGTCATTATTATAGAAAGATCAATCAAATACAAGGAGAAATGGTAAAGAGAATCCAAAAATATCCTTACAACTAAAATTTGTTCTGGGCCCCTCGATCTGATCAGACAGGTCGAACCTCGCCAGGGGGCACTGCCCCTTGGACCCCCGACATATCTGCGAAACATACAACTATGAACAAATAGAGACCGAGAGGCAGCGCCCTCGGAACAAATTTTAATTGTAAGATTATTTATGAAATTTTCTTTTACATTTTTACTTATAGGTTTTCTCGCAGGATCCACCCCTTACCTACCTGCGAAATAATGCCGAGCACTCCAAGTGAGACCTTGACAGCATTCAAGTCAGGGTGGTCTGCCCCGAGCGAGCGCACCCTCGCATAACCTTCGGCCGGCGAAGCTGGCGTCACGATCCTGACACCCACGACATAATCATGCACCGCGCTGCCTTTACCCCATAACGAGCTGCCATGCGCGCCGGTGCCGAGCATGCCGCCGACCGTCACGCCGGCCCAATAGGGCGAGTATGGAAGCGCGAGTCCGGCGTCACCGGCGACCTTGATCAGCTCGCGGAGAATCATCCCGCTTTCTACCGTGAGCAGTAACGCTGAGGCGTTGACGCTCACGACGCGGTTCAGGCTTTTCGTGCTTATGATGAGGCCGTTGTCGCCGTCTGGACAGGACAGCTTAGGTATGCTGTGCGCGTACCGCGTCGCCGCCTTCATCTTAGTCCCCGTTCGCGCAGCCTCAGCAACGACGGCGAGGAGCTCGTTCTCGGTCTCCGGGAAGACGGCCCTGGCGGCGCGGCATGTGGAACGGTCGGGGTATGTGGCGTAGGAGTTGGCGATGCTGCAGTTGGTCGTGCCTGATGAACACTTTATCGGGTCTTCCGGCGGGCTACACCGCATGACCGGAAGGAGTAGGAAGCTTGCGAGGCAGAGCGCCGAGTAGGCCCAACGAGATTTGTTCTCCGTCATTGTTGTGCGGTGGTTGTGGTAATCAATGTGCGATAGGTGCTATGTGCATATCGAATGTGGAAGTGTAGTGTAGTTATTAATATATAGTGTGCAAGTGTTGTCGCGTGATCGGCATTGTGCGGGCGATCATGAGATCAGAACTTTTGGTTTTTTCTTATTATATAAGGGAAGAATCATTATGCGTCACCGCCTGGTTTAGCTTAGTCTGCTACTCATCATTGATTGCGGGAAAAAAGCAAGGGATATTTAATCGTGTTTGATATTCTTATCTTAAATGAAAGGACACCGGGCTTATTAATTGGAGGATATTATTATATTCTTAAGATAATGAAATTTTTTTTATTTATAATATATTTTTAAGAAAATGTTGCAGTATGAATAATATCATACTTTTTTTATGTAAAAATTATATGGATTCTTTATTATTTATTCACTTTTATTTAAGATGAGTTTTTATTAATTCTGTTAACGTTGTTAGGGGTGTAAACAAGTCTAGTTGAGTTAAGTTTAGGTCTTCTTGTCAGTTAGAAAGCGAGCTCGAACTCGAGCTCGTTCCATTGTAAATGAGATCGGGCCGGCTCACAAGTCATGGACATGATTTTAAGATTTAGGTGATATTTTTAAAACTTAAGCATGATTTTTAAAACTTAGTCAAAATTTTTTTAAAAAATATTTAATGTTTAATATTTAAATAAAACTTACATTATTTTTATTATTTTTAATATTTAAATTTAAAAAATAAAATAAAATAGTTTAAAAATATTAGTATTTATTTGAGCCAGCTCATGAGCTGAGCCAGCTCAAGCTCGAACTCGAGCTTATTTACTGAATGAGCTAGAACTCGAGCTCGAGCTCGACTCTTAAGCTCGGCTCACGAGCCCATGAACGAGTCAAGTTCGACTCAGCTTGCGAGCCGGCTCGGCTCACTTACACGCCTAAATCCTTCTAATTGTGCTAATTTTGAATTGCAAAATAATAATTAATTTATTATTTTGTAAACAGAAGATTTACCTGGGCTTATAAATCAAGACGAGGAAACTTATCTTTTCAATTTAAAAGAAAATTTGATCAAAGTTTTTAAGGAGTCTGGTTCTGATAATCAATCTCTTTTAAAGCTGCCTCTAGCAACGGGCAAATCGACAAAGCTAAATCTGCCAGAAAGGCACCTAATTATTTGACAAAATAATCATGTTATTAATTTCTAAATTTTGCTTCTTGGAATGTTTGAGGTTTTAATAGTCTTGAGAAAGTTAATTTTTGCAAGGATCTTGTGTGTTGCTTTAACATGGATTTGATTTGTATTCTTGAAGCTAAAGTGAATTTGGCCTTGATGGGCAATCTTTGGTTCTCTACTTGGTTTAATCAAAGGTGTGATAGTCCCATTTATAACAGATTAAATAGGATTTTGGTGAATAAGGCTTGGTTGGATGCTGTTTCCTAATTCTTATTATAATGTTGATAAGCCTTAATGTTCTGATCATTCTCCGTTGATTTTTTTTTTTTTTTTTTGGGAAAATTAGGGGCATGAGCCCATTTTATTCCGTCTAGAAAAAAGGAGTACAAAATGGAAGTTGACATCTACCACAACCAACCAGTAGATTCAACTAAAACTAACAGCCATAGCCGCTGAAACAAAAAGAAAGCAAAAAAAACGAAAAAGAACTGACAACATGAGCAGCAGAAAGCATGGAAAAGTAAACCTATACCATACTAAGAAAAATTGAGTGGACTGCTAAGAAGCAAAAGAAATCTATTCCATAATATAGATGAAGTAGACCGCGATGAGTAAAAACACCAAATTGTCTCAGAAAAAGCTGAACCTAAGTAAATGCTCCCAAGTTTTGAAAAACCTGGACTCAGAAAAATGGGTTCAAAGCGAATTCTAGCGACCGGGCAGTTCCCTGGTTGCCAATAGGCCGTCCAAGGGAAACGGATGGGAGCTTCATCATCGTCCAGGTGATCAAAATGATAACAGGTAGAATCAGATTTGAAGCCACCAAGACTTGCAATCAGGCAGCTGCCGAAGCAACCACAACCAACAGCAACAATTATCTCGCAGCTATCACCGAGAAGCACCATAATTCTTTAGAATATGAAATCAATTCAGAACTAATAAAGCCCAGGTCCCCCTGCTGCATATGGAACTAAACAGCTAAGCTGCTAATTTTTCCAATAAGTCTCCATCACACCATTTGGAGACCTTGCAAAGGATATCTTTCTTGATCTTAATCAAGATAGTGGTAGTGCTGGAGGCAGCTAAAGCAAATTTTCTCTCATTTATTTCTCTCCAAACATGGTAAACAGTGCAACATATGGTAATGAAGTATAACCTTTTGGTTTGGGTAGAGAGGTTTTGGTTTTCATTAACCCAATCAAAGATTTGCATCAAGTTGGGTCTAAGAAGCATACTGGCTGATTCTGGAATGAGTTTAGTGATAATGTTGTGGCTGTAATTGCAGTAAAAAAACAGGTGATTAGTGCTTTCAGTATGATTAAAGCATAGAGAACAAGTCAGATCCACCACAATGTTTCTACGGTATAGTTCCATAGCCGTTTTGAGGCCCCCAACCAAAGAGAGCCAGGCGTAAGTAGAGTATCTCAGCGAGTGTTTTGAATGCCAAATGAATTTCTCCCAGTTGTAGTCCGGAAAGGATTTGTAAAAGTCATTGGTAAAACTTTTGAGATTAGCTTTAGCTTTATTAGCCAAAGAAAGGCATTCAGAATTATTATCCAGAATACTAACACCAAGTATAGCATTAGAGACCATTATGGGTAAATTAATAGGAATATTCCAGCAGCCATCAGAAGAAATGAAATTGCTCACATTAAGGTCCTCATAGTTAGCGTAATCCGGGTTAAAGTCTACCAGGCATTTAGAATTGCACCAGCTATCCCAGATAAAGGAAAGGGGAGAATTGAGGGTAACTTTGAATTCCCATAGATCTTTGGAAGTAGCAGCAGTGCTACAGATGGATTTCCAGAATTTAGAAGCTTTAGAGTGGGGAGGCTTCCAAGGGGAGGAGTAGTATCTAAACAGCCAAGAAGCCAAAGGAGAAGTTCTGTTATACATTCTATGTATAAGAGAGCAGTTGAACCCATGTTGAAGAGCATCTATACTATAGATACCAAGTCCTCCCTTGTCTTTGGGTTTACAGACATTGTCCCAGCTAACAAGGTGCAACTTTTTCCCCACAGAAATATCACCAAAGAACAGAAATTTGGAGGCTATTTTTCTAAAGAATTTAAAAGCACCTTTGTTTAAAATAGCACCCCTTATCCAATAAGCAATAGAATTTAACATAGTAAATTTCAAATATTGGAGTCTTCTCGCAAAGGATAACATCTTAGCATTCCACCCAGAAAGTTTCCCAGTGATATCATCAGTTAGAGAAGAGATGTCAGAACAGTTTAATTTCCTGAAAGAAATAGGGATTCCCAAATAAGAGATGCTATCCTTAAGAGACAGGGGGAGGGAGTTGCAAATTTCAGTAGCAGTGGTAAGATGCTTGGGCAGAAAAAGAGAACTTTTCCCCAAATTAATATGAAGACCCGAAGCTTTAGTAAATCTGTTGATAGTATCCATGAGTTTAGTGCAATTGCTGCAAGTGGCATCACCAAAAACAAGTAAGTCTTCAGCATAAAGGAGATGGCTGATCCTAAAATCCTTGAAATAAGCTCCCTCAAAAAGATTATCATCAAGAATTGAGGAAAAGACATCCATAGCAATGCAGAACAAATACGGGCTTAGGGGACAGCCCTGCCTTAACCCAGCCGAAGAGGAAAAATAACCTTGAAGAGCTCCTTTGATCACAATGGAATAGTTAACATTGGAAATACAGCTTTTAATCCAAGTGATAAATAAAGGAGGAAAACCTTTTTGAAGAAGTCTAGCAAGAATAAATTCTCTAGATATTGTATCAAATGCTTTGCGAATGTCAAATTTAGAACAAAAAAAGTTCTTTTTCCCCTTAGTGGCATATGTGATAATCTCTTGGGCTAAGATAATATGATCCGTAGAAGTTCTATTTTTAATAAACCCAGCTTGGTTTTCTTTCACAATGAGAGGCATGACACTCTTAAGCCTATTAGCAATAACTTTGGAGATAATTTTATAAATGACATTACATAGAGCAATAGGCCTAAAGTCATTAAAAGTAGCAGCATGTTTAGTTTTAGGGATCAAAGTAAGAGATGTGGCTTTAATACCTGTGGGCATAATGCCCGAAATAAAAAATGATTTAACAGCCTTACAGACATTGGGCCCAATGATGTGCCAGCTTCTTTTATAAAAATGATAGTTGAACCCGTCTGGCCTAGGGGAGGAAGAAGCTTTGCCATCAAAAACCGCCTGCTTAAATTCAGCATCAGTAACTGAGATAATAAGAATATCAGCTATATCAGAATGTAATTTATTACCAACAGGAAAATGCTCTATATTTAAATCCTCAATCAAGGGAGATCAGAGATGATGTCTTCATTTAAACAGTGAGAGGAAGCACCAATATTCACTACCGCATTGCTATTGGCCCTACGACGTCTGATTTTGTTATAAAGAAACTTCAGGTCATCTTCCCCCTGTGAAAGCCAGGAAGCCTTAGCTCGCTGAGTAATCCATGAGACATGGAGAGAAGTGAATTTCGTGATTTGGTGATTGACTTCTTTCAGATTGCTGTTAAGGGACTCATTTAAAGGATAATCCAAGATCTGCTGAAGATAAATTAACTGTTTTCTATGGAGTAAATCCAAATGCTCCTGAATAGCATTAGCATTAGTCCAAGGCTCCAGTTTAAGCCTCTTTTTTAAGTGACGGAGTTTAAAACATAAGTCAGCCAACGGATTTCCTACTTGGTTGGCAGAGAAAACATCAAGTAGGATATACCAATATGCTTCTAAAGAAGTCCAGAAATTTTTAAAAAGGAAGCGGTGAGGAGTAGGAGTATTAACAGTAGAGTGTAGAATGAGTGGGCAGTGGTCAGAGCAGGAAGGAGCCTGAACCGAGT